TTTTTAAAAATCGGCTGATCGATTTTATTATGACATTCCTAAAAGTTCCAATGTAGAAAATGAACGAACTTAATCTTCCAAAGGATTCCGAAATTTTAATAAAAAGTCGACTAAGCCGGCTAAGCCGATAAAATTTTGATCGGCCAGGATCACTACTAGTCAATTCTGTCTAAAAACATTCAAAGATTTAAGATTATTATAAAAAATATTAGATTTTAAAGAATTATGGAATTTTGTATAGCACAATGAATAAAATTGAACCAAAGGATTAATCATTGTTTTTAATAGGTTTAAACTTTTTCCTATTATGAAAAGAAATAATCATTTTAGAAAACTTTCTAAACAAGGTATTTTTTTCATAATTATCCAAAGGAATATCTCTAATATTATTATAATAGAACTCTTTTAGCGAATTGTTGACCTTCTAAAAAAAACCTCTTAACGGTTTTTTTGTGAGATAACGCTATCCAGCAATTAAAGTATCGACAGGACTACCGTTGAAATAATTGCCCAAACATATTGTGAAACTGCGATATGCAATATTTCGTCTAAGATTTTTAATTTTATCAGCCCTCGTTCTACCATCCTTGATCAATAAAGAACCGATTTTAACCGTTTTAGTAGGACTAATAGGCTTTAATTAAAATATATGTCATATAAAAATTTACGTAATATTAATTTAAATATTTTTCATCAATTTCAGATGTATTCTAGATTTTTATTAATCTTTCCAATAGTATTATAGTTTAAAAATTGTAATAATTTAATTTAGTTCAAAATACATTTATTTAAGATACGTATGTTATTACAAATATAAATGTGTTTATTCTTTAAAATTTGTTTTAAAAAAAACTAGAGAATGCAAAAATAGTTATAATTAATATAATAAAAATCTTTAGTTTAATAAATAAAATGATCACATTTTGTAATTTCTGAAGAAGATATAATTATATAAAATTGAATTGTACATATAATTAATTGATTAAATTATTTACTAAGCAGAGTAATTAATCAAATTTTTCTACTCCGATAGTAAAGTGGTAGAGAAATTAGGGCACTCCTTTATTTTAATAATCACCAAATTCCCAAAAAAATCTTGTGACCTTAAGATCCGTTGCCTATAGAGCTTACACAATTTACTGGTAATTCTTATCAAGTTAATGAGATGGATTGGTTAATATAAATTATATCAGATATTTCCTCTTTTCTTTTTAGAGATAGTTTAATAAGAGGTTTTTTTTTTAGTTTTAAAAAGCCAATTATGCAAACAAAAAAAATGCTAAAGAAATTTTTTATCATACGCTTTTCTCAAATTTTCTACAAAAAAAAAAAAAAAGAAAAAGGTATTATGAAAATAAATATGAAATAGAAATATTCTTTCTCTATGTATAGGTTTTAACAAAAATACAAATAGCAATGTCTTTTCAGAAATCTTCTGATCTTAGCAATTGAAAGATTTTGTTCATAAGCAACTATAATATAAAGATAGTTTTCTAACTTACAATTATAGTGATATACATTGATATCATTATAAACTTGTTAAATTTTAAGAATTTTGTGAAACTAGTCATAAAAAAATCTGATCATATTAGACATTAGGCCATACAAATTTAATTACTTGGTTTTCATAACATGAAATTTTAAATCAGACCCGGCCAGATTTTTTTTTAAATTTTATATGTAAAAATTTTATAAAATACTATAAAATTTTTTACAAAAACCCATCCGGTTATTACAGCTGTTTTCATTATTTTTGGGACATCTGGTAAAAAATTGACTGAATGATTTTTTGCCGATTCGATAAGTTTTTGATTCGGCAGTGATAAACTTTTGATTTGAGTGTAATTAGTAATATATATAACGATAATTATATATAACGATATGTTTGCAATCGTATTTGGACGATATTACAATTTCAACGCATCCAAAATTAAGTTTACACTTGAACCTATGTCCAGTATGCTTGGTATGTTGTTCTTGCCAACTAACAGATCTTGACAAAAAAAAAACATAAAAAATGGTTAGAATATAAGACAAGCTTTCATAATAAATACACGAGTAGGCGTTAATGAAAAAATTCAATACGAACAAGAATTGATTACTGGTTTATATAACGCGAGTTATTATTCTAAACAACCAAGATTATATTATTCTTTGTCGAAACCGTGTTAAGAATTATAATTAACAAAATCAGAATAATATTTTATTTAAAAGTTTTAATATATAATGATTATTACAAAATGTAAGTCAAAAATAAAACTAGCAAGAATTAGATGAGAGCATTGAAACAATGGATTTGACGATTAAAGATCCTTTAGTTTATTCATATATGTTAAATATTATAAAGACGCTTATCGAATCGACAAAAAATCATTCGGTCAATTTTTTTACCAGATGTCCCAAAAATAATGAAAACAGCTGTAAAACATATAAAACATTTTTTTTGAAAGTTTTCAAACTTTGACCCGGCCGGGTTATGAAAACCAATTTATTAATTTTATATGACCTTATATTTTTCTCTCTGTATTTTTTTTTTTTTTTTTCTTCGCGTACTATTTAAGTTTTTATGATCATAATTTTTTGCAAATCTGTAAAAAAATTTTATGATTATACTATCGCAAAGACTTAAATGCATATATCTCATGATATATCCACCATTAGAACTGTAAAAACCTGCTCTACAATTTTTATTAGAAGCTTAAAGAAGTTTACTAGACAGATATCGAGATATTTGCATTTCGACTCCAGATTATGTATACTTATAGATTTTATTATAAAATTTTTTATTCTATATATAGTAATTCTTTCCATTACTCATGAATTACGTACGAATTAAAAATGTAATTTATTAGTGTAGCGGTAGAAAAATTACTTTTACTTAGAGCTTCGATCCTTAATCCGACTATCTGGATTGATCTTTAAATCCAAATACTGTACTCAAATCAGAGATGTTTACTCAACTTAAATAACGGATTCAATCAGAAATAGGATTGAAACACTACTTTTACTGTGTTAAAACATATTTTATAAGGTCAATCACTTAATTAAAATTTATAAAATCCATGATATATAATTTAATCAATGACGTTACTGGGAAAACTACGAGTTAAATAAAGCCATTCAAATGATATAGTGAATGTAATAATAAATGAATAAAGTTTTGTTGCTTATTCATCTGTAGTCATGTTTGTAGAGATATTTACATCGACTCAATAATTTTTTCACTCAAAAAAAACGATTAACTTGCTGAATTTGATGTATAGTAGTTACAAACGCATGCCTAGCGAGATCAATAATAGTCTGTTCCAAAATACATTATTTCCTCTAAACAACGTTTGGTATGACAGTTTTCAGGCAAGAATCTTCTCTCCAAAATGGCCAAATTTCAACCCGAATGGTCGGTAATTCTCAATCTTCCAGCTTACCTGCCAGACATGATGAAATGAACAACAGCGTATCAAGACCGAATAATCATTTTGTCAAATCAGATACGAATAGTGGTGAACATTCTAAAAACAATTCACCTGTCTTTACGGTGCCTTCGATAATGCACTAATTTCATTAAACTCTAGTCTCACAAGATACTAACTCAGATAGTGAGCAAAAAACTAACCAACAACTCAAAAAAAAAACAACAAAAAAAAGCAAATCTAGCTTACTCCCGACTATTACTAACATGATATCACAAAATACAATACAAACCAAAATAGATAATACCCAAGCACAAAACCTCATGCAAATAACAGAAATATTCCCACACCCTAAACCAAATACAAACAACAACAACAACAAAGACACCAATTAGAATATAGATGTTACATCAACAACTGATCCTGCAGGAATCAATACACATACTAAAACATACAGCCAAGTAGTAGCAGGATCCAGTAATCTCAAAACAAATCAGCACTTAGACCTGACCCGACTCATAAAAACTTGGGTAAATTCAACTTGACAAGTACTCTCCTCATTAAAAACTCCATAGTTCGATAAAGATCTATAGACTCGTGACAAAATTATCACTACTTTCTCCTCTCTAACAGAATTTCAAAAACTAATTGAGCATAAACTCCAATCTAAGCTTACTCAGAAATTCATTTCACTTGGAATAAGTACAAAACTCTTTTATTTTGATCGTTTCTTTTTTAAAACCTTTATAAGAAATAATGACTCAAGACTAATTCACTAAAAAGAATTTCAACATTTACTTAATACAGCAATTGAAAAATATAAAACCTTCCATAATGTAGCAATCATCAATAAAAACAACAAAGACCAAATATTCGATATGCTGAGAAAAAAAATAGTAGTTAACTATTAGACTAACAAAGAATTCACTGAATTAGATACTTATGAAATCGCTCAATATATGCTATATCTTATTGGATTTGCTAAAATTCCAATTAAACTTGACTTTGACTCTCTAAAGGAAATAATTAATACAGCTAAAAGCAAACAACTGATTCCTCTACCTCCTACTCCAAGTGAAATACTAGAACCTATCCTTACTAAACTACCATTTATTCTTTCAATTGCAGACTTACGCAAAATCAAAGCTATTGTAGCAAGTCTTCAAAATATATATATATTCGAAAGACTGCCTAAAGAATATATTACAGACAAAAGGATCCCATTACCTACTCACCCCAATCAGCTAAATGAAAAGACTCGTAGATTCTTCTCTATTACTACTCGTGCAGAACTACGAAACCTAAAAAATTATAAACAACACCTTCAAGCTCACTATCT